AGCAAAATTCCACTCACTTAGAAGGTTCGACTACAGTTCCGCCAAGAATAATGGAAGCTACAGCACTGAAATCAATTGCTCCTACAGCATACAAGGGACAATCACCGAAATATGCAGAGCAGGTAGCCGGGAGAGCGGCCATAACACCGTTTTGCTAAACAATAAATAAAACAATAAATTAGTTTACCTAGGAAGAACGGTTGAAAAAAGACTAGCATCTTCTGCTGAAGCAATTTTCGTGCTTATTGCTTGTTTCTTACGTTTGCCTCATACAACATCATAAACAGTAAACAGACTCACAAAAGAAGCGGCTTGCCAATCTTTTGAACCAGGGGGTGGATGAGGAGCAGCCAGAACTCCACGCCGTTTTTTCGTGGGTACAGCTGAAAATGGTGGTGAAGATGGAAAAAAGCTGGCGTGAAGACAGATTGTGACTATGGTTGCTGATAGTCAGACGAAAAAGTCGAAAAGGTTGCAAATTGTACTTGATTCCGACTAGTCCAACTTACGGATGCAACGGAAGTTGAACGGCTTCCCAATCCATTCGTACGTAATCACAATAAATGAAACGATCTCCTTTCGCTCGTGCGGATATAGAGCAGTGTAAACCTGCAGAGCATATTTCAAGTAAAGAGCCCAAACGAGTATTAGAGGAATTCAGTTACCCACGAGAAGCAATATGACTCACCTTCTTAATGAAACGATTCTGCCCTCTGTTTACACTCGCAGTCATCGGATGTTCATATCTCCGCATCATGCACTTCCATATGTACTTTGAATGAGGAAGTAAGTTCCCTCTACCATCATCCATTCTAACGAAAAGGCCACAATCAGAATGACCATAATAACGATTCCTTCCAGTAGGTCTCCCTAAAAGGCAGTTTTAGACAAAAATGTAAACGATATAAAGCTCCACTTACCCCACATCCCCAAACCGTCATTGTTAGAATCAGATCGATCAAGATTTTCACAGTTGATAACGAATGTGCCTTCTCCACGGAATTCTTGAGGTATTGAAGTGCATACTTTGCTCTCATGCACCGCAATGGCACCCATTAGTATGTGAGATGCCTCCTGCAGTAATGAAAACGTAATGTACTGTTATGAAGAGACCAATACAAGCGAAGATCTGGTAAGGTATGAGCACTTTGAATGAAATTCTGCAAGAACTCCTCCATCTTGGCTCAACTGGCACGGTATAGCGGTAAAACCTTGACTACGGGTTGCTTTTGCAAAGCATTTTTGTTGCAGCCTTTTTGATTACTCGTCAGTACCTAATAAAACAGAAGAACACCTGTGGGAAGACTCCAAACACTTGAAACAGTAGAATTCATCACATTGTAAACAGTTTATGTCCCTCTTTTGCTGTTTGTGGTCTCCAATACGTATTTTTGATTCCTGATGCACTTTTGATATTCTTCCTTCTTCTCAGGGAGAAACAATATAAC